TATAATAGTTTTTTTTATTATTACGTTTTAACGTTTTTTATTTAAAAAATAAATTGTTTAAAAATAAGTTAATATTTTGGTAATAAATAAATATAATATAATAAATAAAGTTAATTTTTATGTAATATATTTTTAATTTTAAAAAATATAAAATAAATTTAATAAAAATTTTGGTAAAATATTAATCATAATTTTTTACGGTAATTTTTATTAATTTAAATTAATTTAAAAGATTTTTTTATTATATTTAAAAAAAGCAATAAATTAAAAAAAATACGAAAAAATTGGAAAATTATTTAAAGTAATAAATAATAATTATTTTTTAAATTATGTTTTATGGTAAAAATTTATTATAATTATTTTTTTGGATTAATAAATAAAAATAATAAATATTTGGTTTTTAGGTTTATTTAAACGATTAAAGGAAAGTTTATAAATAAATAATAATGTTAACGTTTTAAACGTAAAATTAGTAAAATTAAAACATATATTTTTAAATAAAAAGTGTAAAATTATAATTTTTTTAAATTTAATATAATATATAATAAATTTATAAATTTATATAATTTTTGTTAAAAAGCGAAAATAAAAGGTTTATATTTTTTTATTAAAATATATATTTAAAATTTTTAAAAAAAATAAGGTTAAAACGTTTATAAAAGTTTTTAAAATGATAAATAATTTAATTTTAAAAATATTAACTTATTTAATATTAACGAAAAATATATTTATTATTTTAATAATAAATAATTATTAAATTTTAAAAATAATTAATAATATTAAATATATAATAAAAGCGTTTATTTTTAACTTAAATTTTTTTATATATATAATTAATTTAAATATTTTTTTTATTATAAAATTATTAAAAATAATTTTAATATTATTGCCAATTATATTTAAAATCTATTTATTAAATTTAAATAAAGGTTTTTTACCTTTATTTTTAAATAAAATTTATATATTAAATAAAAATAAAATTTTTATATGCGTTAAATTTTTTAATTAATTAAATTTTATATTTATATTAATATTTATAATTATAAAATTTAAAGTTTAAAATTAAACTTTATTTAAAGTATATTTAAATTTTATAATAAAATAAGTTAATAAAAAAAAATTGATAAAAAAAAAGTTGATTTTATAATAATTTATATATAATTTTTAAAAGTTATAAATTTTAAAAAGTTTTAATTATTATTATTTATTAATAAAAACTATTAAGTTTTATTAAAATTATTATTTTAAATAAAAGTAAATATTAATTATTTAATTTAATTTAATAAAATAGTAATAATTAATTATTATTTTATTATAGTATAATTTAACCGTTAATAATTCCTTTTTTTTTTTTTTTTTAAAAAAAAATTAAGTTTAACCTTTTAAATTTATTAATATAAATATAAAATATTAATAAGAAAAATATAAAGTAAAAAAAATTAAATATAAAAAGAAATTATAAAAAAAAATTAAAAAAATAAATATAAAATAATTTTTTTATAAATAATAATTATTTAAAATTTTTAATTTAATTATAGTTTTAATAATTATGGTTTTAATAATTATAATTTTAATTTAAAATAGTATAATATTTAAATTTTATTAATAATTTAAAACTTATTAACGGTTTAAAATTAATTAATAACTTAAAATTTATTTAAATCTTTTATAAAAATAGAATTATTATAATTTATAACTTATTTACTTAATAAAATAATATAATTATAAATATAATAATATTATTTATATTTTTAACTTTTTTTCTTTTAAATATTATAAAACAATATAAAGTTATTTTATATAACGTTTAAATTAAAGGCTTTATTATTAATAATTTTTATAAAAATCCAATATAATTTTTAAAAATTACTTATAATAAATTTTTAAAAAAAATAATTTATTTATAAAATATTAATATTAAATATATATTATATAATTAAAAATAAATAAAACGTAATAATATAAATAAAATAATAATTAAATAATTTTTGCTATAATATTTATTATAAATAATAAATTTTATTAATATTAAAAAATAATTAATTAAAAAATTATAATAAATAAATAATAATTATTTAACGTATAATATAATAAATTATAATAAATTATTTCCAATAATTTATTATTTTCGAAAAAAAGCATATATTTATTATAACCTTATAATAACTTTAATATATAACTTTATATTTAAAAATAACATTTAAAATTTCGACACTTTATAAAATTGCAAAAAAATAATTATAAACGTTTAATATATTAAATAATAATAAAATATTATATAAATAATTATTAATAAAATTAAAAAAAATTAAAAAAAAAAGAAAAAAAATAATTAAAATAAAGATTATTTATATTTTATACGGGGTAAAAAAAATAAAAATAATTATTTATACAAAAAAATTATTATATAAATATAAAAAATATAATAATTAAAATATAATTAATTATTTAAATTTAATTATGTAAGATTATATCATATAATTAATATATATTAATTAAAATAATGAAAAACATTATTTTAATAAATTTTTTAATAATTTAATTAATTTAATATTAAAAAATAAATTAAATTTTATTTTTAATGTTTTAAAAATTTTTAACCTTTAAATATATTTTATTTATAATATAATTATATTATAATAAAAATAATAATTTTAATTTTTAATTTTTTATTATTTATTTATTAATATAATATAATTTTTTTTTTTAATATTATAATAATGTATATTGTTATTATTTATAATAAATATAAATTAATAATATTTATTTATTTATATTTTTTATTTTATTATTTATTTATAATTTATATAATTTATATTTAATTTATAATTTTATATAATTAATATTTAAATTTAAATATTTATAATTTAATTTATTTAATATTAAATAATATTATTTATATGTTATAATTGTAGGTAAATTGTTTTTTATAAAAACTTTAATAGTATTAATGTTAAAAAGGTTAAAAATGTTATTAATGTAAAAGGTAGGAATATTATTAAGATAAAAAATAAAAATGTTATTAAGGTAAAAGGTAATAATGTTATTAAGGTAAAAAGTAAAAATGTTATTAAAATAAAAATTAAAATTGAAAATTTACGAAAGTTAATGTATATTATTTTAAAATATATTATTAATTTAAAATGTTATAATATAAATTTAAATTTATTTTTTTGTTTAATTAATTTAAATTATATTATTAGTAAATTATATTTGGAATTATTTAATATAATGTTTATTTTTTATTGTGATATATTTTATTTAATAGTTTTTACTTTTTTTGTTTTTAATAATTTTAATAAAAAATTATTACGTAATTTTAAAAAAATGGGTATATTTTATTTAAGTTAAAATATTAAAATTTATATTTATTATATATTTTATATGTAATATGTTTTTTTAATAACGTAAGGATTTATTAAATTAAATTATAAAATAATTTTTTAACGTTATAAATATTTTGGTTTAAAATGTTTATATAAAAGTGTAAATAATATTTTTAATTATAAATTTTTTAATGTTTAAAAAATTTAAAAATATTTTAAAAAAAGGTTAAATATATATATATATTTAATTAATATTATTAAAATTATTAAAATTATTTATTAAATAAAATTAATTATAATTATATAAAATTATTTTTATTTATTTATTAAAATTTATAAAGAAAATCTATTAAAAGAAATTAAATTTTATTTTTGGTAAATAAATTTAATTTTTATAAAAAAAATTTTTTATGTAATTTAATTTTTAGAAATTTATATATTAATATTATTTATAAATTTAAAAGTATATTTTATTTTAATTAATTAAAATAAAAAATTAATTTTATGTATTTTAAAAAATATTTTTGTATTTAATACGTTATAAAAGTAATGGTTTTTAAATTTTGAAATATAATAAAATAAAATTATTAATAAAGAAAAAAAAAAAGAAAAAAAAAATAATAATAATAATAATATATTTTTTAATTTATTAAATAAAAAAGAATATAATAAAAATAGTAAATTTAATATTAAAAAATATTTAAAAAAAATAAATAAAAAATTAAAAAATATGGAAAAAAAATTAAAAATTATTAAAATAATTGTAAAAAATGTTAAAATTAATAAAATTAAACTTTTTAAACTTATTTAAAAATTAATAAAAAATGTAAATAATATTATAATAAAGTTAAAATAAAATAATTTCGAATTAATTAATATTAACGTTAATATTAATTTTTTTATAAAAGTAAACGGTTTTTAAAAATAATAAATAATATTTATTTTTGTTATTATATTATATTTAGTTAAAAGTTATTATTAATTTAAAAAGTTAATAAATAATATTTTTATTAATATTTAAATTATTATTAAAAAAATTATATTATATGGTATAAAAAATAAAGTAATTAAATATATTTTTAATTGGTTAAAAAACGTAATATTTTAATATGTTTTAATAATTTTTACATATGTTTATATAAAAGGGTTATTTAATCCGATTGGTTGTAAATTCGGGCTATTGTGCAGCCCCGGGGGGTTGCTTCCTGTTTATATTTCCATTTTCTTTGGAAATCGCTTTTAATCAATAAATTTTTATCAGAAATTAACGATTAAACATCTCTCAGGGAAGCATCCGAAATTTATTCTATTATTTATTCGGCTAGATAGGTGCCTAGTTTGCTTATATATCAATAGAGAAATACGCCCCAGGGATCCTGATTTCCAAACAGAGGTATCAGAGGTCTATTTAGTGATGCCTGATGAGGATTTTACCTTTTCGCGATTCCTCAGGATCGATGCGTTCACTGACTGTATCCTCAACCCATCTAGCACAACGTATCCTAAGGTGCAAAATCAGGTAAAGCTCAGAAGTTTCCACACTATCAAAACCACGAGCTTGAGAAACCGCCTCATAAGACCAGTCCTAGGCGCATGAACTTGCGCTGAGTCTCCTGTTAGATTTAATGGCGGTGTCTTCTCCCAACCATCTATCAGGACGCGCGCCGCGTGGACACTGGCTCTAAAACCGTCCTCGCGGAACCCAAACCCCATCCAGGCACCGGCAAACGCGATACCCGAAACGCCGTTGATTAAGTGAATGTGACGAGACATGAGGATACTCTCTGAACTAATGAGCGGGTGGTAGAAAACGTGGGTACTCTGCACTGAGCAAGGACTACACGGTCGAATGTCTCTCTAGACTTGTCTGCAAAAATGAGTGTCATCTTTTTGCCAGTCCGCACTACCCTATGTACCGGAGTATGTAAGTGTAGTCGGTGACAAGGTGGGAGGCTACGTTGGAATGCCTCGATGTAAGTCTGCGACCCATTTCGAAAAGAACGCCATCCAAGTCTTTTCACTACGGCATCTAGTAGACCGCGTTGTAGCCTTCTCGGGGGGATCTATTAGCAACTCTACAATTTCCGACCTGAAGGCCACTAGTAGACTCACATGAATTGAATGAGGAACTTGGCGGGAAACGTGCGAGCGAACTCCTCCGGGTCGGTACACCATGGAGCAGCTACCATTGGAATCAGGAAGTAACTTATGAACCTCTTCGAATACATATTAACACTTAGTTGATTTTTGAAAGCGGGACACATGACGCTAGACTTATGACCTACGATATGAGGCTTCATCCATTGCGATGAAACCACTGTCGACGTTTACAGTCCTCCCATTGCCCTCGAATGGTACCGAGTTAGCATGTCCACCGAGCTTGCGGTGAGTCTCGTAGATTTCCACGGTGCAATCGTGTTTCTGCAATTCCCAAGAACATGCCATACCCGTGATACTCCCGCCGACAATAGCAACTCGAGGTGCACGAGACGGCCCCTTCATTCTTGATGAATTGTAACTAGTTGGTTCAACAAATGTGATATATTAATAAGCCCGTGTGAACGAAGGTAGCTATAGTATACTTAAAAGGTACAGTATTTAATCAGATATGCCCTCTCATTGAATGGTAGTCTTAAACCCATAGCCTTATATTTGATGACTACCTCCTAGGCAATTCGCACGTGGCTTTGCCAAGCTCAAATGTGCGAAACTTTTGGCCTTAACCTTCGTACGAATAAGCTTCGATAGAAATTTAAAGGAGTACAAATAGCAATAGTCTTATTATTTATATATAAATTATAATAAAAAAATTATTAAAAGAGGAAAGTTTTATGTAATTTAATTTTTTTTTTTAAAAATAAAACATTATTTCCCAGAGCCAGGATTTGAACCCGGATCCCTTCATCCCTTAATACGGGCATGGTTCCGCAACGCAAGCGTCCCCATGTGTCAGTTTGGAATGTTACCATTACACCACTCTAGGTTATTTGTTAAATTCAATCAGTTAAACAAACTTATAAAGGGTAAGCTAGGACATGTTATAGTTTATTATCTCAGTGCCTCAAATTCAAGGCATAATATATGTATTGCTTAAGTAGGTAACCCCCTTTCGCCTCTTGTGTCCTTCTATAACGCCTTTCATAAAAGCCACATGTCCTAATGGCCATACGTTCCATCACCACCGGTGTTATATTTCGATTAGGTCTGCATACATACATAGAAAACAAGAGTAGAGACAATCAAGCCAACCCCAATCCTTCAAGCCATTGCCAGATTCCTGATTGCCCCGGACGACCGAGTCTCGCTGATAGTAGATCCTGTTGCCGTAGTCGTACTGGAGGCCCCGGTAGTAGCAGTAGTTTTAGTAGACGCCTCGTTCTGCTCGGCCTTGAAGACGTTGACCAGTCCCTTGCCGCCACAGAACACCTTGCTGTCGCCGGTGCAGGTGGTGTTGCAGTGAGTCTGGTTGCTCGCCCACTCGCCGCCCACGTAGCTGCCACACCAGCACTGGTTCCCCTCCTGCACGCCTGCGAAGACATACGCCTTGAGATAGCACGCGTTCTCGCATTTGGGAATAGACAACGCTGCATCGCCGCCCTCGGGGCTCAAGTTCTCCTCGAGGATAGGCAGCGCGGGGTACTCGACATAACAGCCCATATCGGTCCAAGAGGTAGGGGAGGGTCCGGGCGTGACCACAGAGGTAGTGGAGACAGCCGTTGTCGAGGAAGAAGATGAAGTGGTCGTGATTGTGTTGTTGATCTTCTCCATGGTAACGATGCAGTACGACTGATACTCCCATGGTTGGCAGTCGAGACCGACGGAGGGGTTCCATTCATGGAACTCCTCGGGGGTGATCCCAAACAGACTGCGTACGTATTCGCACGGTTCATCGTCGCTGTTGTTGTACCATTCGATGCAGTCTTTAGTCGTCTCTGGGTCCCATTGAAGCGTCGGGTTGGGGGTACCGCAGGCGCGGCGAACCGCCACGAGCAGAAACAAAAGGGAGGCCTTCATAGCAGCGCTGATGCAAATCGAATTACTAGGTAAGCCGGTGAAGAAGAAGGTAGGAAGGGTGGACGATGGGAAGAGGAGCGGCAATCCAGCAGCTACTGGAGTCGCAGGCAGAAATCGCGGCTATAGGTATTCTCACTTGCTTGCTTCGTTTGTTTCCCTCCCTCTCTTCTCTCTTGGCGCCAAGTGAAGCCCATATTTCAGCTTATATTTCAGCTCATATCGGTGTCAGTTCAGTTGTAGTCTAGACTCTAGAGTCTGAGTTAAGACTGAGTCAGCTCAATTAGCCCAACACCAGGGACTATACAGGACTATACAGGGTCTGATTGGCCGTTACAAGGAGGTCCAGGTGACAAGAACTGCCAAGAAATACGCCGCGTAGTAGCTAATAATTCTATTTAACCAATCCTACGATAAGGACTATACATATAGGACTTAATTATATTTTATATTATGCCGCCGTTACACGACAATCTAAATAACAAAGACCATTCACCATTCACATCATACGGATTGGCGGATCGTACGACGTAAGCACGAGGTATCCCGACGTGCTAACTATCAATAACCCTTGGCAGCTTTTCTCCTTCCGCTTCAAGTCAACGGGCCGCAGACTACTATGTACGCTATCTACCTGCGTTGAGCCCTGCTGTTAGGAATCAACAATGACCACCTTTCATCCATTTCCGCGCCTCCCAACCGAGCTTCGCAGGCGCATCTGGGCCTTGGTAGTCGAACCTCGTGTCGTGGAGGTCCGCGTCGTGCCTGACAACCCGCTAAAAGTTCAGAGGCTAGTCTCGCCCACGCCGGTGCCAGCAATGCTCCAAACCTGCCAAGAAGCTCGTAACTTGGGCCTGTACAAGCAGGCCTTCTTCGAGGTCACCGCCACCAAGGTCAACGCCGCCGCGGGTGCGGAGTCTCGCTATGTCTGGCTCAACTTGGACATCGATATGGTCTCTATCGGGAAAACCTCGTTCAGAGCTTTCGCACCCGTCGCATTATCCATTAAGCGGCTAAGGTTCGAGCGTGAAAACTCGGACGAATCCTTCTACCACTTTGAAGTAAGAGAGCTCTGGGACTGGGTAAACACGGAGGAAATCCATGTAGTTTGTGGAGATGGGATGGAGGCATGGCATGGGGCTTCCCACGAGCACTCCTGGCCTTGCGCCCTGGAAAACCTGTGGTTCTTCGATCCAGACGATGGTCGGATGATGAGAAGCTTCGAGATGGAACAGATGCTTGACGAAGCGCTGGAGGAGATGAATAGACAAAATGACGAGGCTGCTGAAGAAGCCTAAGATGAGGGCGGATATGACTACCTTAGTAGTGCTCGTCTCAGTCAACTAAGAGTTATCTCATCGAGGGAAATCAATCATTGCATTATCTACAATTCTATCGCCGTGTATACCACAACCGCGCTATCTATCCTATTCTCCTTTCTCATGCTCTGCCTCCTCCAACTTTCCTACTTTCCGACACATAATAACCACTTCTAAATTGTCCATCTTAACGACAACTCCGACTTCTGTCCGTCACCCGCTTGTATGACTGTATCACTACGCGGTGATCCTTTGCCTGCTTGTTGCTCCCGCCGTAGAAGTTCTTGAGAAACCCCTGAATCTCCTTGTCGACATCAGGCACGCCCTTATCCTTAGCTTGTTTAGCCGTCTCTTTCCAATCCACGGTTTCCCACACTTCGCCAGTAGCAGGATTGTTCCCAGATCCTAGTTTCTGTATTTGTATGTCCATTTTGCCACCTAGCTGGGCCTTAGCTTCCTGAACGAGATGAGGGCCGTGATCTCCAGCCCGCGCCTCGCTGACCTTGTCTAAAGTCGCGTCGAAGCTATCCCAGAAACCCCGGTTGCCACTGTTCCCTTTGTTCTTGTACGCATTGTTAACTGTGTCGCCGACACGCTTGATGTAGTCGTTGAACTCCCACGCGTCCTTTACGGCTACGTAAGGCGGGAAGTTGGGCACCTTGGGGTTCTTCCCTGGGCCGTTGGCGAAGAGCTTGTAACATTGCTTGGCCGTCCCCTCGGGGTCCAACTTCCCATCGGAACCGTTGACGGACCAACCGTTTGGAGTAGGGGTCTTGCCCAGGAACACCATGAGGTCGTCAAAGTTGCACCGGGTGCGACCCGAGTTCTTCTTTGGCTTGCAAGCATTCCACTGGGTGCATGATTTGGTCTTCGTGTCCGCTTTGGCGCACTTGAAGCCGATCGTCTGGTCCTTCTCATCGTTGAGCCCATCGATCTCGTAGGCATTGAACAGTAGCACGCGCTCAAGGCATCCCTGGTACCCTCCGGCCAAGACTGCGGAGAGGTGAGAAAGAACGAGGAAAAGATTAACTTTCATGATTGTTGCTGGTGCACAAGACTCGACAGAGCAAGGAAGAAGTTGAGTCCTAGGTGAAGTAAAGGATGGGTGAAGAAAAATGATTGATGAGTTTGCTCCCAATTCCAAGACCGTCCTTCAGGCTCAAGTTCACAGCGGAGCTGTATCCGATCATGTTCTATTAGAAGTAGAACTGGACTAACATATGCCGTGTTACCGTATAATCTCCATCTCCGGTCTGATAGGCCATTCTGTTGATGGTTGTATTGACTATAATAATGCTGTCAGCCTGGTGCGAATCTGGCCCCTTGGCGACGGTTTAGTCTGCGGCGTATAACACGCAGGTGCTCTTTTAGCACGTAGCGAGATCCTAACTTCATTCCCTCGCCGCACTCTTCTTGTCTCGTGACGATTCATTTGCTAAACCCCTGTTGATAGGGCTGACTATATCGGAGATGAGGGTACTTGTATATTCAAAGAGGCGGAAGCAATCCAGGTAGTGCTAGTAGGACAACATCAACCCATGTCTATGCCAAGGTCATTCTCACCGGCCTTGTTCTCGATATCTTGAGCTGCTCGAATGCGTGAGCTCCGCCGTCCAACGTTCGCTCAGCTCGCCTGTGCTCAGTCGCTTCTATTTTTCTCATCCGTCTTATATTTGTTCCCTCTCGTGCCAGAGAGTCAGAGGCTTTCATCCCCTCAGCGAACCTGCTTGCGCAGTTCCATGCTATCATGAGGGCTTCTTTACTTGTTCCTTGGGCCATCTTGGCTTCCGAGGCTTTTGCATCCCATTCTCATATCGAAATCTCCCGCCGAGACGAAGATGTCGCAGAACTCGAGTCGTGGCTCGCGACGGCCCAGCGAGCGTCACTTGATACGCGCAAAAAGTGCCCCGTGTCATGCAGCGCAACCAAAAACAGCAGCTCGAGTACCGAATGGTTCTTGTTTCCAGACGCTGCAGAGTTGGCGTCATGTAACGAGACTATGCTGCTCAACATGGTTGTCAAGACTACAGCTGAAGATCAAACAACTCCTACGGCTATGAGGGCATGCACAGCCGACTATGGCTCCGGTGTAAAAGCTGCATTCGTCGCGGACGAGAGCAAGGCATCCCTCTGTTCAACGTCTAATCGTGTCCTGAAGGAGGCCTCCATCTACATGCACGAACCACAAGTCGGCAGCAATGCTGCTGAATTCTCTGTCAACCATTTCCTGGCTGCTGGGCATCAGATTTCCCGCCATCTCGCATTACAGGTACCCTCCTGCGCTCACAACGCAATCGAATTTGCCTATTCCCAATCAGCAGCCATTGGCGTCTTTGCTGGAGCCGAGATTCATCAACACGGAGTAACGTAAGTACCCCAGGGGTTCAAACTTCTTTAGCCCATAAATCTGTCTTTGGACCTTCCAGAATACAAACCTATGATGCCCGTCTCGTATGGATACCGCAATATGAGCGCCTTTACATTGTCTTTTCTTACTCTTTTCCCCATCCATAGCCTACGTTCGCACCACACACTTGCTTCCGTAGAGGCCTAACCACTAACCTAGTGCCACAGCTCGGATGTTCTCAACAATCTGCTGAAATACGCAGAGGAGAAGGCCATATCTAAGGCCACTGTCGTCCAGATGTGCGGTACCGATGGCCTCGGCGCAGACTATAGCTTCGGCATTGTTGCTGCTAGTGTCGCGAATCTCCCATTCGTCCAAGAGGCTGTCAAGACATGGGCCGACAGAGAATGTGTCACTAAGCCGGGCGTGGGAGAGCCTTGGATGTCGGTCACCCTGCGTGTTCCCTCGCCCGTTGAGGTCACGTCAAATAGTAGCACCGATATGACGGCATCATCTGGCACTACACCCGCAAGCCTCGGGGCAAGGTCGCACCTTACCAAGAGGGCCGACTGCAAAACAACCAAAGTCGAATCCGGAAATGGATGTTGGGCTGTGGCCGACAGGTGCGGGATCAGCCAGGCAGACTTGGAGAAGTACAATCGCAAGGACCTTTGCAGCACCCTCATCCTCGACGAGATCGTCTGTTGCAGCAGCGGCACTCTGCCTAGCACTCTGCCACCGGGCAACTCGGATGGCACGTGCAAGACAAGGACCGTGATCTACGGCGATAGCTGCGGCTCACTAGCATCCAAGTGCGGTATCAGCGCGGCGGACTTCACTAAGGCCAACACCAAAGCCGATCTATGCTCGAACCTGGCCGAGGGCCAACAGGTTTGCTGCACGGCCGGGAAGATGCCGGACTTGAAGCCCAAGCCCGATCCCGACGGCAACTGCGCGGTGTACACGACCATAAAGAACGACAACTGCGCCAAGATAGCGGCAGCCCGTGACCTGACCGTGGAAAACCTGGAGAACTTCAACAAGAAAACCTGGGCCTGGAACGGCTGCGAGAAGCTCTTGCCCGACTTCAAGATGTGTGTGAGCACGGGAAGCCCACCCATGCCAGCGAACGTTCCTGTGAGTACTTTCTTGCTTAATTCTCGTAGGTGCCTTGTTAAAGTACCTTGTTAAAGTACCTTGTTAAAGTACCTTGACTAACGAGGATTCTTAACAGAACGCTGTTTGCGGACCAACGGTAAGAAAACGCCCCCCGTCACACTACATATAGTCATTATGGCACTACCCAGGCTAACGTGGATATGTAAAGGCGAATGACACAGCGCGGCCGCCCGCAGGAACCGACTTGAGCACGCTCAACCCGTGTCCGCTTAATGTTTGCTGCAATATCTGGGGCCAGTGTGGTACGACGGATGACTTCTGCGTCGAAAAGAAGTCTGAGACCGGTGCTCCTGGAACCTCGGGCGCAAAGAACGGATGTAAGTTACGCTGTCTCTAGCTACATTGTTTCATCAAGAGCCATGCTGTGAGAAAAGCATCGAGCTGACTGTAGGGATCAGGTGTCAGCAACTGCGGCAGAGATATCATCAAAGGATCTGCGCCGGCTGAGAAGATCAAGGTTGCGTACTTTGAGGCTTGGAACCACAACCGCAAATGCTTGACCATGGATGTCGACCAGATCGACACAGATGTCTACACTCACATTCACTTTGCCTTCGCTGATATCACGCCGAATGACTTCGCAGTTGATATCAGCAAGGTCCAGGAGCAGTTTGACATCTTCAAGCGTATGACAGGCGTCAAGAAGATCATTTCATTTGGCGGATGGGACTTCAGCACGATGCCCGGGACTTTCAACATCATCCGCACCGCCGTCCAGCCTGGCAACCGCGACAAGTTCAAGAGTAATCTCATTGAATTCGTCGACGAGCACAATCTCGACGGCATCGACCTCGACTGGGAGTATCCTGGAGTGAGTGACCCACCTCCCCCTCCCCCTTATTCTGCTTGGCAGGACTAATGAGTGAACACGCAGGCCCCTGATATTCCCGACATCCCTAGTGATGATCCGGTCAATGGTAAGAACTACTACGAATTCCTGTCCGATGTTAAGAAATCCGTGGGCTCTTCCAAATCAGTTTCCTTCGCGGCACCGGCATCCTATTGGTACCTCAAGGCGTTCCCCATCAAGAACATGGCCAAGGACCTCGATTACATCGTCTACATGACGTACGATCTTCATGGCCAGTGGGATTATAACAACAAGTGGACTTCTCCCGGTTGCGAGACCGGCAACTGTCTGAGGTCCCATGTCAACGAGACGGAGACCAAGGACGCCCTCTCTATGATCACCAAAGCCGGCGCCGCCTCGAACAAGGTCGTCGTGGGCGTGGCCAGCTACGGCCGGTCGTTCAAGATGGCTAAGGCGGGTTGCGACTCCGAGGGATGCCTGTTCACGGGGTCACCCCGCGTGTCCGACGCCGCGAAAGGGCGTTGTACGGATACGGGGGGCTACATCTCCAATGCCGAAATCGACGAGATCATCCAGAGCGGCAAGGTCAACAAGCAATGGAAGAGGGAAGGCTCTAACATTTTGGTTTACAACGACACCGAGTGGGTAGCCTACATGGACGACGACATGAAGAAGTCACGGACCGAGTTCTACGATTCGTACAACTTCGCGGGCACTACCGACTGGGCCGTGGACTTGCAGTATTTCGCGGAGTAAGTCTCAGCACCATTCTTGCACCATTCTTGCGCGCTTCCGGTTTCCTTCCGTACTAACGACATCTAGTGGGAGCGGCGGCGATGGCTACGACGATGATTACGAATACGAAGTCGACGACAATTATTGGTCTCCGTGCCAGGGCTCATATACCACGCTTGATCAGCTCGACCAACGGAAAGACTCTATGCCCGCCCACTGCATCGAGCAGTACCTACTAGACGTCCAGGTCGCCACCTTGGAAACAGCCCTGAACAAGTACAAGAAACTTATCGACGACGGCTACGACGACAAGTTCTCCATCTACGAGGAATACGTCGCGGACCAGGTTCCCCCTCAAGTCAACCATTTTATGGCCAGCGACAAGGTGGACCAGTACTTCACATGTAAAGAGACCAAGTACATTACGTGCTGCAGCAGCTGCCGCTATGCCACCTGTGCCGAGACGTGCGTCAAAGGCAGCGACTGCAAGAACGGCAGGGGTACGATTGATATAACGTGCCCCCGGATGGAGTTCCAGCGATCCATAGCGGACGGCGACCAAACCCCGATCCCCAACGCCACGTTCACGCTCAAGGACGCTGACGGTTTCTGGAAAGACATTGGAGAGGAGTACGGCATCGAGGAGTCGTGGATCAAGTTCGGTAGGCGGCTCATGCGGGTCAACAACGGGTGCCAATACGCGGGCAAAGATGTCAACGAGTGCATGGACAAGCAGAACAACTTCTTCTACAACTACCCCCTAGCCGACAAGGTCACGGTCTACAACCCCAAGGAGGTCATCGGCGACTCCTTCCCCAAGGCAACCGACATGCTCGACCGGTTCAAGATCGTGCGGGCGTACGGGGATTGGGACGACCTGATGGAGCTGTCGGACCTGGTGGATGCCACGTCGCTGCCGAGCTACTCGACGGAGGAGGCCGTCTCGAGCATGGAGAATATCGTCGAGAAGGCCGGCGAGATCGAGAAGAAGCAGCGCGAGGAGTTCATCCTCAATTTCATCACCGGACTGCTCTTCTGGATCCCCTTCGTGGGCGAGGCCGTCGGCGCCGTGGGAATGACGACGGTCCGCTCTCTGCTCCGGCTCATCGGCGCTACCGGCGACGCGGGCGTGGCCGTCTACGACATCGTCAACGATCCCGAGAACGCCTTCATGGCCGTCTTCAGCTACCTAGCGGGCGCCGGCCTAGGCCGCGCCGGCTTCAGGAACGCGGCCAACTCCCGACGAGGCCTGACCTCGTCCGAGTACGACAGCCTCGGAGGCGTAAAGACGAAGCTGGACTTGGTTGAGAGTATCCGCGGCGGCGTTTGCCCTAGATAAATAACTTGCAGCCGACGCCGTCCGACCTAGTGTTAAGAGTCGAACGCGGGAATACTGTAAGAGCTTAATAAACCTTAGATTTAACAGGTTTACTTATGTTAGACATTAGGAAATGCTCTATTCAGTACCATAATTCTTGTAAATCTATACATAGATCGGAATAAACGGTTAGTCTTATATTTCAAATACGATTATTTCGAATACTATTAATCTCCTTCCCTTGAACTTGAAAACTACATTATTTTTAACTAAGCTCATTCTATACTGTACCACAATCCGTAACCGACATCATGGCAGCCGTTATGGACGATGGGGAGAATAAACTACGTTCTACTGAAATATCTAGCCTTGGACGCCATAATGACCGATCCTCTTGCTAATTGGCACGTTTCTAATAAGGGGTTTCCTCCTCGCTTCTGGTGTCTTTCAGTAATACTATGAACAGACTCTCATCACACAATACTCTAGCTCTGATATCTCCTGGATTTCTACAGCTTGTGCCTTTTTCATTCTATCCGCCGGTCTCGTAACTGGACCTTCCTCTACTTACCACTTTTCACCCAAGTCAGAATCCCATCAACAGATCCCAACCTAACCCCGGATCTCCTAGCCATACTGAATGAGGCCTTGGTAGTTGGTCGGCTTGTAGCAGGCTTTGTCGCTGCAATCTTTGTTTCTCTAGTTCTGGGCTCTATATTGTTGTACTGTTGGATAACTGTTGCTACGGTAGCTGGTACCATTGCCTGGGTAGTATTCTGGGCACGATGCCAGGCATCCTGGTGACTTTACCTGCAGCATTCATACCCCTTTTATGTCCGTCGATAGCTGGGCCGCAACACTTGTTGCTTATCCTATAATCCATTTGCGTTAGAAGGCACAAATTACTGGAGGCACTTCAGCATGAATTTGTACCATTCTCTAGTTCTCTTGGCTTTAATATCCCATGAGAATTTCACTGAGTTAGACATCTAAGACATAGTTATCTAACCTCATTGTACCCCTTATTAGATTAGCCGTGCGGTGCCAGTCCATTACGGTGAATTATAGCCCGTGCCCCAATAAGAAGTAGTGTAGTAGTAGGTAACGTCCTCCTAGTCACAACTACCAACTGGGGCATCGTATATACAACAATAACATCACCCGTAGTTGCTACCGTGGGTGTTCCGTACCGCGAAAGGTCTTCGTTGGCATTTCCCGTAGTCTGCGGTTCAACCACGTCACTATCTTCGAGGCACGATGCCTCGCCAGTCTTGATATCAACATATGGCGAGCCACCATCTACGCAGAGTACGTCATAGGAGCCTTTCTCATTATCATTGTTGGGGGTAGTATACCACATTGTTGGTGGTATATCCCCGTTGAGAACTGATTGTACGGCACGACGCCTCAGCTAACCCATACTATTGACATCAGTAAGACAGCCATTCACGTCTACAGACTTGGCTTTGTAGTTCTGCACCGGCCAGTACGAAGTGAACAGGCTGATAGTAAAAATTAACGTGGGTCCCCCTCGACTACTTATGCTCTTGCGTATCTCTTGTTGTTGAAACTTGCTGGTCATTTACCATAACACGAAAGCTGTGGTCTGACACAGTTGACGCCTGCTCCTTCTTCTCATTGTCCTCGAAAGTAAATGAGTCAAAAGGTAGATGCTCTAACGTCAAAACAATAAGCGGATACTTCAACAAAATATTCCTCATCATTTTACGCATCCAGGTACCTTTCGAAACCATACTTTAGGTACCTACCTACCTTACATCATATCATATACATCCATACGCAACTGAAGCTCTCCCAACCACACACCTTCGTCACAACAAAATGGATCCTCAAATACCCTTTACTGAGGGTAGCCCGCCATCACCGTGGCGCACCATCTCAAGTGACCCCTCACCGATGGCTGCTGAGTTGGACTATGTCCGATGCGCTACCTTGCACAACAGGCTCCTCGAGAGAGGCTGGGTGGACTCTGGACAGCAGCTGGAATATGACGGCAAGGGTGATCCAGAAGAGTTTCTACACCGTGAAAACTGGTTCGAGTTTTTCGGGGCCGATGCTGAGAGCGTACGCAGTCGTCTCTCGCCATCACTGGTGGCTTTCCTAGAGCGTGCATTAGTCGTATCTAACCACTCTCTACACTACTATGTTGCGGGTCTATCTAGCCATGATTTCCTATGGTCAGACAACGAAGGAGAGATGAATACGGGGGTAAACCCAGATCGGTATCTAACTCTTTACACCGGTAGCGGTGTCCCTCTCGGTGTCGCTCCCGGTGCCGCCCCCGGACAAATCGGCCTAGTGTAAGCCTCACAGTACGTCTCCTAGTATCTCAGCTAACATAATGATAGCTTCGACCAAGTGGAAAACAAAGCAATCATACAGATGTCCGATTCCGACTCTTCAATTACCCAGAATGGCCGCCAGCAATGGTTCCCCCTCGAAGTTGTTCTCAGCGCCTGGCTTGACATGGTAGAAGTAGGCAAGGTGCAGGCCGTTAATAGCTTTGTAGAGCTTCCAAACCAGAAATTCGAACCGTGGGTAATCGTACCCTATGACATTCATGAGATAGAAGAAACACTTACCATCTACCACAATCTCTTGGATGCGATTGAGTCTCGGATCCCAGGAATTTCTAGGCCATCGAGTCAACAGCCACTCGTTCCTGACGATGCTCTGGCCGCGGCGAACATATCATATGGATTTGCCCGGGAATTTCTAAGCAATGCACGACGACCATCATTCCGTTATATTGCTCCGGGACTAGAAATACCCACTGCTGACACGTTCGGATACCAGCCCTTTAGTGCGGTCGATCCCGACCTACTTAGGGAAGACGTAGATATAGGTCCGACAATTCAGTTTCCTGTCTTACTATTTCGAGCCTCGGATATGTTCTACGCTTCCCCCAGTCCGTATGGAGTGAACGATCGCACGGGATCCCATCTCCCATTCTCCTGGCCATGGTCTCAAGTAAACGCATACCCCGCGGGACTTTACTTAACGGAATCGGACCAGGAAGCCGTATGCTTTGAAGATGGCGCCCGTATGGTGCTGCCATTCGGTATTGGGTCACGCGGATATGCACGCACAAGCGACGGAGCGAGGTTCGGAGAAATCAAAGAGGAAAAGGGCGCCGTCGTCCAACCACGCGATACACACGCCGACTTGTTCCAACTGGGATATGTGCCATTCATTGGTACACACGAGGTCCGCCTTGCTCAAGTCCTGAGAGCGTGGCTCAAGCAAGTCGAAAGCGGCGCATGGGAGGTTGGCGCGGATGGTGTGTTAGGCGGTATCGAGAAATGGAAAGAAGCTGATACGGAGGCTGGTTGGGCTGGCTATGTAGTACCAATCAGTTGGTAATGCGTTAAGACCGCTTGAGTGCCTTGGGTATTTGATATACGATCGAAGCATGCCCCTTAAGCTAGCTAAAGTGGCATCTCTAGGATCGTCTATGACCCTCCACGTAATAACTTGCATTCGACAAGGGATAGTTTAAGCACAAAATTGATATCTTTATCTATCCAAGGTTGAACGATGCTCAAATGCTTGTGTTTATGTGTCTCTGGGCTTTACTTTCGCGCCTGTCGTGAGGTCTATAATAAGACCCCTATTGTGGGCCACCCCCTTTTTAGATGTGCGATTCAACTTTCATAGATCTTGATACTTATTAGTAGCAGCGATACATTGGGATTCGCCTGTGGACGGCTATATGTAAAGTTATGAAGTAATATTCCTTGAGAGTAATACTTTCCTGGAGTTTACCATGTTCATAAATGCCCTTATTGGTGGCTTTGAAGACTTAGCTATACCAACCTGAATAGCACTACTCTACCATTATATTTTGGCTGCTATCATTAATGCGCATTCTTGATTTGGCATAAGCCTAACAATTGTCATTGTCAAAAGAGAAGAAATGTGATTACTATATGAACAAGTATACAACTGGGCAAATATAATTCTGAGAAATATAGGGATACACAAGTGCAAAGTCCACTCTGGCTATAATGGCGTTGTAAATGTATTTATGATATAATTGTAAAATTCTCTTATGATTTGGTTAGGCCAATATTTTCGTAAACTAATGTTATATTCAACAATTCTTGTATATATTAATTAAGCGAAATCATCTTAATTCTTTAATATAGCAACCTTTAAAACTGGAAAATGAAAAATACATGGTAAAGTACCATAACGGCAAAAGGTAGTTTTAAAAAACGATTATTAAATATAAAAATTATTTTATATTTAAAAATTATTTTTTAATAAATAATTATTATTAATTAAAAAATATTTATTTATTTAATTTATATAAAAAAGTATAAATATTAAATATAATATTTATATTAAAATTATGGTTATATAACTTTATTATGTGATTAAAGTTAAGGTTTAATATACGTAATTTATATATATAATTAACAATTTTCTTTATTTTATAAATTTTTTTTTTTATAATAATATATAATTAAAATTAATTAAGTTATTTATTTAATTATTATTTTTTTATGTTATTTTTTTTTATTATATTATTTATTTTTATTATTTAATTTATACGGAAACTTTGTTATTTTAATATTAATTAATGGTTGATTAATAAGTTAATTATAAAATAATAAAGAAAATAAAAAAAAATAGGCGATAAAAGGGTATGTATTATTTTATAATAAAAAAAAATAGTAACGTTAAAATTTATTTATTTATAAATAATTACGAAAAATATTATATTAATTTAAAAATTTACTAATAAAAATGTTAACAAATTTGCGTTTATTATACAATTTAATTAAAAATTTATTATAAATTAATGGTATTAAAAATTGTTTAATACGATAATTTTACGGTATTTATAAATAATATAACGTTTAATTAAATAAGATTTATTTAAAAGAAATTGTTAAGTATTAAATTTTAACTTAATTAATTGGTAAACGTAATATAAAATAAAATTAATATATATTATGTTAAAAGTTTTACAACATATAACGATGATATATGTAACGAAAAATTATAGTAAATATTTTAAGGTAATTTTTAAAGATGGAAAGCGGTAAACTTTATAAAAATATATTATACTTTTTAAATAAAAATGGTAAATTATTTATTAAAATATGAAATATATACTATTAAGATAAATAATTCCGAAAAAATAAAAAAAGTTATTAATGCAAAAAAATATTTAAAATTTTTAAACAGGCAAGCTTTTAAAATGTCAAAAAATTATTTAATAATATTTATTTTAAAGTTTAACTTATATTATATTAAAAAAATAAATAAAGTAATTATTAAATTAAACTTAAAATAATAATTAAAAATAATAATATCTAATAATATATATAATGGATTAATAAAATTTGTAATATAATTAAAGTTATTAATAATAATATTTATTACATAACAAATATTAATAACATTTTAATTATTTTAAATATAATAAATAAATATTTAAACAAAAACGGCACCATTATTAATACAAATGCCAATATTACAAAAAATATATTTAATACTAATAAAAGTATTTATTTTAAACCAAAATATTTTTAATAAAAAAATTAAAAAAATATCGGAAAACTATTATTAATAATTTAAACAAAGATTAATTTAAAATTTTAATACGTAATTATAATAAAAATTATCTCTTTAAAATAATTATTAACTATTATTTTTTATAAATAATTAATAATTATTTCTTTAGTTTAATTATTAACTATTATTTTTTTAAAATAATTATTAATAATAATTTTTTTAAAATAATTATTAATTATTATTTCCTTAAAATAACCAAATATTACTGTAATAATAATAAATAAAATCTTTATAAACTTTTACTAATTTTGTTAAAATATATAATAATGATAAACATAAATTTAGCAATAAAAGATATAACATTTTAAACAAAAAAATTAAGGTTTTTAAAGATTATTACCGAAAAACCGAGATTAAAAAATATTAATATTATAAAGTTTATTTAATAATGTTAAAAAAACAAATATTATAATATTATTATAATTACTTTATAAAAAAAGAATTTAACTTTTAAAAAATAATAATTTGGATAAAAAAATTTTTTTATACCGTTAAAAATTAATAAATATATATAAACAAATAAAAAATAATAACAATTTATATTATAATGGTTAAATATTTAAATAATAATTTATTTATAAATTTAAATAAATTTATTAACTAAATTTAATAAATTTAAAAAAAACTTTTATTTAATTATTTTAAAAATGTTAACTTTAAAAAAAGTATGATTAATGTTATACAAAAATATTTAACGTTTAACGCAATAATCTTCCAACCGGTAAATATTTTTAAAAACGTATATTTAAATTTATATAACGCAATTAATATTATATATAAATATAAATTTTATTTAATTTAAAAACTATAATCTAATAATTAATATTAAACCAACCGTATTTATCAAAATAATAAATATTTAAAATAGTTATAATTTTATTAAAATAAACTATTAAAAAGGCGTTATAATAAACGTAATAATAAAAAAAAATGTTTTATATATAAAAAGTTTAAATATTAATTTATAAAATACCTTGTTAAAAAATAATAAAAAAAATATAAATAATAACAAAAATATGTATAAAAGTAAAAATTTAAAAATATTAAAAAAGATTTTAAAAAATTTTTAATTAAATATAAAAGCGTTAATATTAAATATAATAATAAAAATAAAAAAAAAGATTATAATGTATAAATTTTAAAATAAAATTGTAATAATAATTTAAGTAATAAATACCAAACATTACCATTTTTTAATTAATATTTTATAATTTATAATAAAATTAATAATTATTAAATAGTAAAGATTTTTATAAATTAAGTCATATATTACGTATTTATAAAATTAAATATATTTAATAAATATTTTGAAAAAGTATTACTAGCTAAAATTAATAAAAAATATCCCAAAATTTTAATAGCTTTTTATTTAAAAAATTAATATTTATATACATTTTAAAATATATTACTTAACATTAAAACTATAAACGTATTAATAAATAAAAAATTTTAAATAAAAGTTTTATAATAAATATATTTGTATATTAAAATTAATATAATAATAATTAAACATTATTTAATTTGATTTAGTAATAATTTAAACCAATAAAACTTAAAAATTACTTATATATTAATTTTATTTAAAACTATTTTATTTTATATTATATTTTTTAATATACCGTTTTTATTATATTTAAAAAATATAAACCGGTTTAATATATTTTTTAATAATGTAAAAAACATATTAACTTATAAAAAAAAAAATTATTTTATTATCCGAAAATGGAAATATTTATAATTTTTATTAAATAATTAAAAATAAATTGTTATATATTACCATTTTATAAAAACCGAGTTCCGGTAAATTTATTAACAATTTAATTATTTTATAATAAAATAATTTTATAACGTTTTAAATAAAACAAAATATAATAAAATTAATAAAAACGTTATTAATAAAATTAATAAATATTACCATTAATATTAAATATACAAAAACGTATTAAAAAAATTTAAATTTACGGTAAAAAATAATATTAATTTTAATTATAATATAAACGTTAATGTAATATATATTAAAAATAAGTTTATATTTTATATAATTAATAAAATAATGTTATTTTAAATAACAAAATTTTTAAAAGATATAATAATTAAATATATTTAAGATATATTAAAAATAATATAAATAAATAATTACTTTAAACTATTTGATAATTTTATATTTAATGTAAATATAAATTTTATAATAAATAAATTTATAATTAATATAAAAAAATTATTAATTTTAATTAAAAAAATCTTAATTAAAACGTATAACTTAAATAGGTAATTAAAGAAATATTATAAACTATTACGACATATATATAAAATTATATTAAAAAATTTATAAAAAATTTAAATAAATATATATTATATTTTATAAATAATTATTAAAATAGTTAATAATATAACAAAACTAAACAAATTAATTTTTATATTATTTATATTTGATATATATTTTAAATTAATTAAAAGTTTATTACTTATATTATTAATTATAATATGCGTTACAATTATGAAAAAAGTAATAAATAAAATATAAAAATTTAAAATATAACGTAAAATAAATAATATATTAAGAATAAAAAACAGACCAAATATAATAAAAACAATAAATTTATTTTTATAATTAAAAGTTTAAATTTATTAAAAAAATAAAAAATAAATAAGATTTTATAAATTAATTATATTTAATAATTAAACATATATTATTAAAATTAATAATAAATTTATTAAATTTTAAATTATATTTATAAAATTATATTTCTAAAATAAAATAATTAATATTTTATATA